TGACACATAAAAAGGTTTCTGACACAGAATAACTGTAGTCAAAGAACTTAGAATTGGTCATATGATTTGAATTTATATTCAATTTTTTGTTTTTGTGCAATACACTTTGCTGTTGCGAATTGACCCCCCTCCCCCCAAAAAAAAATAAAAAATTAACCCCTTTTTTTCTTGCTTTTGTGCAATACACTATGCTGTTGCGTATTAACCCCTCCACATACTTTTTTTTTGCAAAAAAAATAATATTTGAAGAATTTTCTTTTTAATTTCTGAAATCTGAAATGAGAAAAAAATGACCCCCCCCCCCCCCACAATTTCTTTTTACCCCCCCCCCCCCCCCCCCTTTTTCCCCCAAAAAAATTCTTTCCCTCAAGATATGGTCATAATCTCAATTCAAATTTCCCATGGAGTTTGCAACCATATATACCCATTTAAATTTACCATAGTGCTAACTTAATCTATTTTATAATAGAATTTAAAATATGGTGTCAAATCTTTCATCTGGATTTTTTTGTAAAAAAAAAAGATGCAACGTTTGCAGATATTTTTACTGGTCTTCCTTTATAAATATGCATTTCTTTAAACATAATTTAAAAGCAGTGTAAGGGAGGTAATCAAAATGTTGTATTTGGATTACCTCCCTTACACTGCTTTTAAATTATCTTAATTGTTCATTAACCATTACTTTATACATAATTTAAAAGCAGTGTAAGGGAGGTAATTCAAAACCTCCCTTACACTGCTTTAAATTATGTTTTGTACTAAAGTATTTGTCCATTAACCAGGACACTCTTGTTTTCCCCCTTTTTTGCCCCTTATTCCTAAACGGTTTGAGCCATAACCCCCCAAAGCAAATCCTAACCATCCCTTTGTGGTATGGAAACTTGTGGTATAATTTCATAGAGATCCATACACCGTTCCACAAGTTATTGTCTGGAAACTAGAAAAATGCTTATTTTTGGCCCCTTTTAGGCCCCTAATTCCTTAACTGTTGGTACCATAACCCCCAAAATCAATCCCAACCTTCCTGTTGCGGTATAGAACCTTTTGGTAAAATTTCATAGAGATCCATTCACTTAAACTAAAGTTATTGTGCGAAAACCAATGTGTCTTCGGACGACAACACCACCGATGACGACAACGACGCCAACGTCATACCAATATAGGACCACAATAAATAATGGGGTCGTATAAAAAGTATCTCATTTATATGATGTTAGTGAATGAAAAGTTTTCAAATTTTCAGGTTTGAGCTTTCCTGGTGAAGGTAAATCCAGAAAACTGCAAAAAAAAGCTCTAATGAATCTTAACGTACATTAAAGTACATTATCACTCATAAGATTGTGCAACTAGATATGATAAAATTAAGCAAGTTATTTTAATTGTATACCAAAGGTACAAATTGAACAATATAAAAAAATAAGATACATATTATTATGGCACTTAATGTATTATAGTAAAAACCAAACATTGTAGCGCCGTGAGCAAACAAGCACTTCTCTTTCAAATCTCACCACTTCTCCCTCTCAATTTCAAAAAGAGAAGTCACTTCTCCCTATGATTCTGAAGTAGTGTGAGCCCTGATCAGAGGCATATGTATACTTATATATATATGTCTCTGACATAATGTAGGAAAACACAGAAAAATGAGAAGAAAAAAATTCTGAAATCTTGCTCTAGATCATGTAGATACTTCTGATCTAAGAAGAAGCAGGTCCAAGTTTTGTAAAATTTTGAAGGTTTGACTAAGTGATTGATGCCTAAAAAAATTTAACAACCTGAACCAAAATGTTGAGGACAACAACAGAATGAATGTTTTTCGCTTTTTCTTGCCATCAAAGACTAGTCAAAATACAATTACAAGGATATCTGGGGTGGTCAAATATTGAATTGCAAATACAAAATGTACACTATTTTAAAACTGCCTTACCAGTGTGAATAAAGTATCACTACTTTCTGATGTTTACTTTAAAATTATGTCCATGGTTTACTATTTAAAATATTTAGATCTATAGGGTCAAAAGATTGTTATATTGAGTTTTTAAGTTCCAGTTTCATATACCATGAAAATTTTCAAAATAATATAGTCATAACCTTCCTTGGAGTTTCATATTCTAATGGCAAACTAAAAAAAAGTTTTTAAATATTCACGTCAATTAAAATATATCTTTTAAAGTTCATTTCTTAATATATTTAAAAATTATCTTCTAAAGTTTTCATATTATATCCTGGATAAAAAAAAAATCAATACATGTTTAAACAATACAAAATTTTACATGATCAATTATTACATGTTATTAGGAAGTATCATTTTCACTTTCTATAAAAAAACAACAGAAATATAATGAGGTACATAGGCATTCATTCCAATGTCAGTTCTATTTTTCTTATACTTCAAGCAAGTTCTGTCCAAGTTGAAAAATTTATATATAAACTTCATGTACACATTGATAATTGATGTATGTATATTTCCCATTAAATCTTGTATTTATAACATTGTATCTACAATCAACAGTCATGACAGTTAATTCTAATGCAACATCATTTGTAATGTTCATTTTGATTGGATGACGTCACCAATTTTCATGGCATCAATTAACAATTGATGCTATGAAAACGTACACGCAAGCACAGACGACATATGACAGATTTTAAATGTATGATTAGACTTTGTTTTCTGTCAGTTTCATTAGAATGGAGAGAACAATATTGTAATTTAAGCTCTGACGGCATCAATTGGTGATTTGATGGTAAAGTAAAGTGACCAAAGGTTCTGTAGGTTAATAATGTGCATGTACACACAATGTACATGTATGTACATTGTAAATATTCAAATGAGGGACTTTGAACTAACTTTCAGTAACTGTGAGCATTCAATAATATGGTATTATCATCATGATCATTTAGTAGTTTTTCTTTTACTACACGTGAACAGTAAAAGTGATAATGTAGGATTTTAATAATGTCCCCATGAAATAATGTTTAACTCCTCCACATATATACTTTTGTGCCTGTACCTAATCAAGCAATCTTTACTCTATTTCATACTGATTGTTGATTTTGAGGCTGATCTCATGCTTGATTAGCAGTTTATGAAATATGGGTAACATGTACATTTTGTATATAATAAAATGTAAAATGAAGTGAAACCTGAGAATTCTAGCTAATATAAACATGCATTCATTATTTCAAAAAAATATAAATAATTTAATAACAACTTCTATGAAATATTGTCCTGTTGGAGGACACTATTTCATAACTGTTGCTGTAAAATTCTGTCCACTTAAGAGACAAAATTTCATGGCATTATTTAATACTTTAATTCTGTGAAAAACTGTCCAGGGGGACACTTTTTCACAGGATGCGATTCTGTCTTACATTAACTGTAGACACTTGGTTATCTCTGACATCGAAGAACAAGTGCTGACATCTAGATGTCTGTTTTGGTTTTATAGTGTTGTTGAGCTGTTTTGGCTGGTTTCATACATTTACACCAGCATCAACGCTATTTTCAATCCAGGTACAATTTAGTGTTACCTCTGTAGTTTGTTGGGGAGAAAACTGAAGTTACATTGTAAACAAGCATTCTGTGAGTATTGCATGGCAATACATAGTCCCCTACCGGTTAAAAATTCATTGCATTGGAACAAAATTCTAACTTGATCTATAACTTGTCATGGTGTACACATAATAAAAAAAGAGTTAAAACACTCTGCAAAATAAGGACAAGCCCAAAGGTCAAAACTCTGTTTATTTTCACTTAAACTTAAGAGTCTTGAAATGTAAAAAATGGATATCTACAGGCAAGAGGTGTGTTATTTTTTTAAAGCAACTACAGTAGAATATAGACATTTGGTTCTAATCAGTTCTTCATCCAGTCTTACAATTCATCGACAATGTAATTGCTAAGCATGAATACCATCACATTTTACATGCTTTAAAAAATTGCAAAATTTCAAAAGATTTTTTTTTATTTCCATCAATCATTGTAAATTTTTACTATGCAGTCACAGCATAATTAAGTCAATCCACATGTATATCCACATCATGCACATGAATGTATCCTCCAATTAAACACTGCAAGTACAAAAATTGTACTACAACAATTTTATTTACCTCTTATCTCTAAAACTGATCATAGTTTTGATAAAAACCAAAAATAATTTACTTTCTAATACAAATACATGAAATACATGTATATCGTCCAACATATATATCATGTATATACATTGTAAGTATTAATTTAAAGGTAAGGTTTGTGGAAACAAACAATATTTAACATGCTGAATGTGGGTACAAGGAGCAGTTTATATGTATTAACCATATTTGCTTCTTCACAAGGGAGGGGTGGCTTTCCTGTCCCCTTTAACATGTTTAATTCCAATTCAGCTATAAGTTTCAATGCAATGCAACTTTATGTTTACTTTTTAATTTCACCAAAGTAATAATCTGTCATTCCTGAGAGATGTTACTGTCATGACAGTGGAACTGATTGGTTAAAATAATGGGAATTTCTAGGATTTCTGCATATATTATCAATTTCGAGAAAGTTTTTTTTAAAAGAAACATGATCATGCAGTATTATCTAAGTAAATAAAGTTGGTATAATATATTACAATTAACCTGCTTTATAAAATATTTTTATAAAATGCAATGTTTTTTAGGTCTAGATCTGTCATCTACAAATGTAGTTTTGCCCACTGCATATGGGTAAGTGCTATGAACCCACTCCTCATTTTTACGTCATGCTTGGGTTAAACACGTTATTCAAACTTTACTAAACCTCATTCGAGATTGGCAGATCAAACATGTTTTGATATTTGTAAGTTTTATTTAAAGGCCTCACCTTAATTTGAAAATTTCTGCTAAATTACTTGGAAATCGGCTGCTACAGGCTACTTCCTTCTTCGAGTCACAGATGATCCAATAATTTCAATTCGGGAATTTCCCAACTTCTAAATTAAAATCACTCCCGGACCATGTAACCAAATGTTCTCCGGAGTTCTTGACTGCCGCGATTGAGTGCATGCGGGCTCTGTAACAGTTGATTGTCTTTAAATGACACGAAACGACGCCTCAGTTTATGCTGTCATTTTTTTTTTTCAATTTATAAATCGATGAAATGACTCAAGAAATTAAAAACCCGCGTCATCAAAAAATTCCCCGTTTTAAAAGCTTTTTGATACTGAATAAGATCGGATAACACATCAAACCGAATAAGAAATACTAAATGCAATATAGGAAATACCAACGGTAAAACTGGACAAAGTCAACCAGGATATGTCAGAAAAGGTAATTATTTCATTACATTGTATTGTGTCTTTTTCAATTCGTGAATATATGTTTTGAAAAGTACGGTTATGCGTTTCACATAGGAAAAATACTGTTTATCAGTTGTTCAGTTTTTTTGGTGAGTATTTTAAATTCGTATTTGAACTTAGAATATGAGCACTGATTAAACCATGGACATTGTTTATGGCTTTACACAATGTTTGCGAAGACTCAGTACAGAATGTTAGGTTGTCAGCTGAGGTTGTCAGTGCTGTCCTTTCTTCCCAAGTTGGCATCATGATGGAAACTTCAGGGACCTTTTTCCTAAAATTATGACGTAGCTGTATCACTAATAACTTTGCTGCTGAGCGACTACTGGTAGCATTTTCTTCGTGCTATCTTACAAGTTTTCGTGTCACTTTTCGATAAAAGGTGACAAACTACTGCCTGGGAGAGGGCGATTGATCATACGGTTGTGGATTAGGCCTATAACGGCTTTTTGCTATTTTTTGCTAACAGCAACTCATGTCTGCTATTAACTTAACTCAAGATCGCCTTCTTGTAGATTGGATTTAACTATTGCTAATTTTTAGAACAAAGTTATTGTATGATATTATATGATTCTAAATTGGCTGTGCCGCTGATTAAATATTCATCCCTGGTTGTTAAGCAAGCAACCCGAAATTCACATTACCAGAGACTTATATGTCTCTGACATTACTATACCATCTCAGATCTGTGGTATCCGCCCCACACTCGACGACGATACCCTTCCTATTTTCTGGTCGCATTTATGACTTCCTTCTCAATATTTATCAATAGAAGAGGCTACGCTCTTTTTAGCTGTCTTTGCACTAAATTGAGCTAGATTACAAGCATATTACTTCAAAGGCCCTTACGACTTGAAATTTTTACACTTTGCGTTTTATATTTTTCAAAATGATCAATCTAAACCAATATCCATCAATTTGATAATAAGATATCAATATCAGTAGTGACTTATCATCTCTAAGGCCGGGACTTGCCACCATCCCGTCCCATCATAGAATTGAACAAAAACATCACGTCATTCCACGATTCTTTTGCTGGGAATAATTAGGCAATGTGATAACAAACTTTACCTGCTCCATGCAATGTCCAAATTTAGATCTGTTTTAAAATAAACTATGGAAAACACCTTCCTTTCCTGACACGTGCGTGATGTTTACATTTTTTTTTATTGAAAAGGGTTTTTTTTTCTGGGTGTTCACACCTTACACATGTAACACATCTTTATGCTTAGAATATCACCAAAAATACTGTATTCCTTATTTTTTTTCTTCAGAAAACGCCTTTGTGACGAGCTTGATTTCCTGCAATTTTGTGAAGTGTAAACACCATGAGCGAGGAAAATTGCCATGCAACCAAAAAAAATTAAAAAGACCATGCATACGGAGAAAGTGTTTTTTGTTTTTTTGTTTTTTTTTAATAGGAATTTTCCGGGTCACATCAAACAACCTCCTTGATGACAGTCAAACATGGCGGACTTCTTTAGCCAACCACTAAAGTTCAGACACTATAGTTTTGTCAGTGACTACACCAAAGAGCATAATACCAAGATTCATCAACAAAGTTACTGTTCAATACATTCAAATATGAGACACACTCTGAAAATCTTGCAGACATGTTTTCTTAAAGTGCTAAGAGAGATCGCAACCATTATGCACATCATTGACGAATCTTGAAAAATAACAATTACATTGAACGTACATGGCTCATATAACATTGGTCATCGTGGAAATAAAAGGAAACTATGATGAAAATCTGATTCGTGCAAGCAGGTGGAATCAAATGATACAAATATTAAACGCAGAAGAAGAAAAAAACTATATACTGCAATTTTTAAAGAGGATAAACTTAGATCAACAGGAAAGTTCCCTTTGATTATATTTATTATTATTAATTATTTTTGTTTATATTCAGAATACTGTTTTTTGTGTGAATTTATAAATAGATAATGTTGTTTTTTGCTACTTGTTAGTACCAACTTAACAAAAAGTAACAACACGTTTTAACATGTTTCAGTGAAGATTTGATATCATAATTGTTTTATTCTAAAGTCTGTTATTCTCTTTTGTGGGTTAATATGCCTAGAATATCAAGCATCTACCAAAAAAGTTCCTCCTATTATTTTTTAAGGAAAAATCTCAAGTCAATTGAATTCCACAATTAAATAAAGCTACATATAAGGGCTATATTTTATTTAGTTAGTTAAAATATTTTACAGAATAACATCTTTGCAAATAAGAAAATGTTTTAAAAAAAAATCGGGAAATTTTTAAATAGGTGTATTAATCTATGTTTTTTATCTTTATTTTGTCTAGATTTTTTATGTTTTTGATTTATTCATGTCACATTTATTTTTTACAACTTAATAATAATAATAATAATAATTATAATAAAAATGATAATGATAGTAAAAAGTAAATTTTGTATACGTTGTGAGTTACTTTGCTTTGATTCATAGATCAATATTCTTATACTATAAAGTTTGATAAAATATGATGTTTTTTTCAAAAATAATTTCAAGTTTAACAGTTAAGCAAAATTGGAGACCAACTCAAATCCAAGATATTCTTTTAATGAAAATTTTTGGAAAGAGCAAATAAGTTTGTTTGCAATGATATTTATGTACACATGAACATTTTTTTTTTCTGTTTTTCAACCCAGTAGTAGATGTACTAGTGGAGCATATTTGGATACAAATTAAAACAAGAGGAAATTAAACTTAAATTATTTACTTTACCCAGCAGCCTCTTCGTGACAAATTCCATTGAATCCACTCTTCTATAAGATTTTTTTTAGCACATTTCTCTATACTCTCCTTCATCAGAATTAATTTTTCTGTTTGTTTTATTATTTGATAATTCCACATTACAACATAAATTGCTGATGCTGTGCTGTAGTAACTTTACACCAAGTTTGAGTTCAGTTTAGGCTAGCATTCTTATTGTGGATGGTGCCACACCATTGCATTTTTTAGAGCCATATAATTGAACAATTATACCATTATGCATTAATTCAGTAAGTTGATATAGCAATTAATAGATCACACACATTGTATTATTGTGTTGTCAAAAATGTAAACACCCAAAACAATAATGGAACCATCTAGTCGATAAAAATTTCTTCATATGATATCCAAAAGTGATGCTAAATTATTTGATAATCATCCCAAAAGCACATTCTTCTTTGAGTGCAAAGGCAAATAATTGCATAAAATTTCACTAAATCTCTGTCAAATGCTCAGAATACCAGATATTGCGTTCACTATGTCAGTTGGATTTTAAACGCAATTTAGCTTTTGTGATTGCTCTATTCTTTTATATACCGACTTGACTGAAGCCAAACTTTAGATCTTCCAGTAGAGCTATTCCTCTTCAAATATATCCATATATATTTGGTTATTCAATTCCTTTGCCTCTGCACACCAAAGGGAGATTGTGGAAAGGAACATGTTGTGTTGTTGTTGGTCATCCATTCACATCCATTCTTACAAACGATCTTGTTTATATTTATAGGCCATTTTAAAAAGCAACACTGATAATCCAATTGACATCGATATCGAAGAATGGGAGGCTTTAGATCACGGTCATGAAAACTACTTTCATCCATTAACATCGTTATTAAGCCGATGAATACAACTTTGTCTAATCGAACGATGATTATTGATACAATGGTCCAGTCCTACAACATTGCACCGCGGTGTTTCCGTACTGGACTTGTTTTGTAACCCGTTTCACTGGAATGTCAAAGTTACCCAATCAAATCTCATGTACAAATATATAGAAATGACGTCACCACATGGCATCTCGGCCATGATTTCTCCACAGCTTTCGCTGCACTTTTGGTAGCTATTAGTATTGTACGAACTATTACTTTGTATCGCTTGGTCAATATAAAAAGATCTGCTATTTTTCTGGAATTTGCTGTTGGCTTCAAAGATTCGACGTGTATTTTATATATAATTTTTCTATAAATGCCAAATATTTTTCCTCTGCACTTACGGCTTTCTACCATATCATTAGTTGCAGTTGTTGGAAAACATCTTTTTGTATAGTCGGTGGCGTTGATTTCTAATACATATGGTTTGATGTTGTATCAAAAACAAAAAAATCTGCGAAAATATCAGGCTTAAAATTTGGTACACAAGACGCAATTAAATAATAATAATAATTATTATTATTATTATTATTATTATTATTATTATTATTATTGTCATTAATAATTTTCCTGTATTACAAATAAAGTATTATTCGTTTGTGTCTGGATGCTGCAAATTTATTTGTCATTTTTTTAATATCTTTAAGTTGTTTTAATATATAATTTTTAGTATTGAATTAGTATCAAAACGTTCAGATAAAATACTGAAATATTTTACTTATTTCCCAGAAATGTCTTAGCAGTAGGTTTCAAATAGAAATGTTTTGAAAAATATATATACGAACAAATAATGCTACTATATTTCATTGGTTTTTTTCCCAGTGGCAACATGAGTAACGTTTCAGCCAAAAAGATATATATTTAAAAGTTATATCTTTTATTTTAAATTATTTTCAAATTTAAAAAGCAATACTTATTTTATAAGGTTCTAAATTCAACAGTTATTTACAGTTTTCCAAAAGAATTATAAAATGAAAATGAAGCTTTTCACAGTAAGCAATTTTATTAACGATTTCTTTGAGCCGATTTTGATTTTAAAAGTTTTACCATTTATAATGAATTACTTTATTTATTAAGTTGATTGTTTATTTATCCTTAGCTTTGTTTTTCAGTTGATTTTTTTTCTTTTTTAATCAAATTTTATCAACTATTTTTCAGTATCCAGAAGACATTTTAGAAATGTAAATGAAATCCTTTTTTGTATGACAAACATAAATTATGGTTAAACAATATTTGCTTTAAGGACATCAAGATGGATGGCTGTTTTTCGTTTTTTTTTGTTTTTTTTTTGTTTCTTTTTTTGCATTCGACACCTTTGTCCCATTTTCAAAGGAATAGAATTTAAGATCGTTTAAAAGAGAGGCGAAATATACCAAAGGGACATTCCAGCTCATAAGTCGAAAATAAACTGACAACGTCATGGCTAAAAAAGAAAAAGACCAACAGAAAAATAACAGGACACAAAAAACAACATAATGTTAATGTTCTGTGTCTTTTTTAATTAAAAAAATAGTAATCATGATTATGTTTTTGAGATACAACAACCTGTCTGTGCTAGCAGGATAATAATGAAAAGATATTCTCGTATAAATTTAATTTATAGTTTCTTCTTTTCTGAAGCAACTTTCATTACCAAAACTTTCAGCTCCACCGATGATGTAAAATCTCATCAAAGATATTAGGATTTTCAAATATTTTGGCATCTTGCATCACTGAAGAGACATCAGTTGACGAAATATGTCCCTGGGGCAGCAAATTTTGTATCGTTATTGTTATTACCACTTCTTGGTCGATGCCTCTGCTGGTGGACTGTTATTCCCAAAAGGGCATCAACGGCCGAATGCCAGTACTTCTGTATTGGCATGAAAATACAGATAATTTGAATGCAATTTTCTGTTATAAAATTTTGGAAATCTTTTCAAATTATGGAATATATCTCCCTCATGCAAAGCTCTTATTCCTTATCCGGATTTAATCAGCTATTTAGCATTTGTATTAGGTTTTGGATTTTCAAATATGTTGGCCTCGAGCATCACTGAAGGCACGTTAGTTGTCGAAATATGCACCTGGTGCAGCAAACTTGGTACCGTTACTATTATTACTACTTCTTGGTCGAAGCCTCTGCTGGTGAACTGTCTCAAAGGTGTCCCCGGCCCAGTAACCATAGTTTCTGTACTGGCATGAAAATATCACTGAATAGACATCAATTGTCGAAATGCTCATCTTGTGCAGCAATATTAGTACTGTTGATTTTATCATAAACACTGGAAATACAAACACAGAAATTACTACATTTATATAACAATGACAACACGTTTGCTTATGACTATTCTCATATAAATTCATTCACAAGTTTCTTGTTTAACTGAACATTTCTAACTGTGGTTCTACTCTTTTGGGGTTGTACACACATATTAAGATAGAAGTTATAAAAACTGTGTTTGTTTTCACTGCACCATGATAGAAATGGTTGCACTTTTATTTATGATTGATTCAAGCAAGTAACGAGTCTCATTATCAATTCCCTGAAGAAAAAACTATTTTACGTTGCAGTTTTAGTGGAACATGAGTATAATTTTTAAACCTTTAAAGTTTTGGATATTACAAATCAAGATCTTGTGGATTTTTAAAAGAGAGGCGAAAGATACCCAAAGGGACATTCAAAACTCATAGGTTGAAAATAAACTGACAACGCTATGGCAAAAAATGAAAAACACCAAAAGAAAAACAATTGTATACAAAATACAACATAGAAAAACTAAAGACTGAGCAACACGAACGCCAGCAAAAACAAGGGTGATCAAAGGTGCTCCTGGAGATATTAAACTTGCAATATTTATTTTCGTTTCCTTTGTGCTTTATGAAAATTCTTTTGTGCACAATTTTCGAAAACAAAAAATCGGTCTGTTGACTTGCTGTCTCCGATTGCAACTGTATTTTACTTCTGACGTAAACTCCACAAATTTTGTCTTTTATTCCTGTTCTTTATCTTTAGATGTGCAAAATGATAAGGATCTGATGCAGTTTACTGACGACCAAAAACAGCAATGCAAGCAAAGTTCATCTACACTGTTGCAACTTTAGTCACCGTATTATAATATGAAATACCTTTGAACAGCTTTATTCTATGTCACAAGAAGCAAGATTGAAGCCTTTGAAGTTGATAAAGATAGTTTTATCTCCCTGGGTTGCCCGAACTCTCCGATGCTCAATAGAGTTTGCTATTGGATTGGATCGTGGTGCTTGATCTTTATTTGTCTGTGCATTTTTTTTCTGATACATTTCTGGTTTTTTCATCTTTGCAAGGTACGGTCTTTAAGGCTAAAAACAGTTGACTAAACACTACAAAGAAAACTAGAGAATGCGCATTACGAACCCCTCCAACCCGGGTTATCTTAGGTACTCCGGCCGGTAGGGTAATCAGATCCAGTTGCAATTGTGGCACAACCAAGTTGCTCTTGACAAGTACAAATTCGGCTTTGATAATGCCACCACCAAGGAAAAGAATGCGGGATTTTGGCTACGACAATTGGAAAATATCAGTGGTCATTTGTGACACGGATATTCCATCCGTAACGGTCAATCAAATCATTTAGGCGTCCGTAAAACTTTCAAAGGCATGACTTGGTGCAAAACCTTTCTTGTTCACAACCCCTATTAAGATAACTAGGATAGAAACGCAAGGTCTGGAATATGGTTTACAACTCCTTCTGCAGGCGCTGCCTGAGTGCTGCTATATAGAAATGCATGGAAAGTTGAACTCATCTTTCTTGTAGTAAATTATAGTTTACAATCATTCCTCATTGTCGGCTTCTAGATGTAAAGCAAGATATGAGAAAGACTTAACTGTACCTGAGTTATCGCTTATTTTAAGTTCGATGGGATAGATGCGTTCAGTGTAGTTATCAAACTGAATCATTAAGTGAGAGGACATCATCTACTATATAGCGGACCGCGAAGTTAAAGGGGAATGCTATCTTTTTTTTAAATTCTATTGTAATTTTCAATGAACGTTATGAATTTATCTTATGTTTATGTTTATGTCTTCCGTACTTTAGTGTTTCTATCCCTTGATGGCGAATTCAAGGAAACCAGGCAAATAATTTGTTACGCAAGACGCCCGTTTCGGGAACAAAAATATCATGAACCCAAAATCTCAACAAAACCAAGTTTGATCTTCAATTTGTATTGGTTTTCAATTTCCGTTGCTTTATCTGTTTATCATACCAACTAAATGTAAAATATGGTCATTCGAGTTTTCCATATTGAGGTTAAATTGTCAATGTTTTTAATACACACCAGATCACAATTTACCTGCGTTTTGCAGCATTTGTATATTTATTTTCTTATTTGATGTTCAAAATTACCATTTTTAATTTTCTTGCATTAGGCCTAATCCTTAAATTTGATTCAGAGCTAAGACCTGTTTGTTTGTCTTGCATAAAAATTTTGGTTTGATGATATGGCCTAAAATGATCATATGAAATATAAATGTAGTACACCGATTTTCAATTATATCCAGACGTTCAGGTATAAATAGGAGACAACAGTGGTAAACCGATATCAAAACCTAAAAAATCCATTCATAAAATAAAACAATGGGAATGAAAACAATCAAAATTGTCTCAAATCCAAACAGGATGAGACCAGATGCGTCAATAGTGTAAACATCTACTTGTATGCATGCATCGCCGATTTAACAATTCAAAGCCACACCCGTCCATTTGGACTGGGTGAAAATACTACTAGTGATTTGAGAGACGTCGACTGTAATGATGACAACCTAAAAATCTCAGTCTTCGTCACAACCTTATAGGTGTAGTTTTTGAGTTGGGACTATCTGATAGTAAAGTAGCTATCAATTTAGTTATGTATGCCATTTGCTAGGGTATTGGATATGTTACTTTACATTAATGGAAAGATGACAATAGAAAAACTTAAATCATCGTTTCTGTCATATATCTTTATTTCAGTTGTCCATCAGCATCGAAATATCAAGATCAAGATATAGATCTTGATATGAAGCAAACATTCTTGTCTCTGTAGTATCCATAATTTCAAGTTCACAAGAATATATGAGGTATAACATGCACGTATACTTCATCACCTTTGTCTTCTCACCAATATTTTCTTTTTCAGTATTTTTCTTTTATCAAAAATTACATAATTATGACTATTGCTTGACGTATTGACATTTGTTTGTTTTTTTTTTTGTTTTTTTTTTCTCTTTGAGATATATTTCAACAAATTATGTAGACGAAACGCGCGCGTAAGGTGTATTGAATTATAAGCTTGGTTATATATTTGATGCCATTTTAAAGCTCTGAATAAAAATAAAGTAAACAACTGACGAGGTTTCTGATTCGGATCAGACACATTATAGTGAAAACCTAACACGAGAACAATGGAAAAATGACTCGTCTTCCTATATAAAAGTTGACAATTTATTGTTTACGCCGGTAACCATACTGCTTAAATTTTTTAAACCGCAATCGTCCATTTTTAAGAA